ACGGCCTGCTGGCACTCCCCTTTGGGGAGGTGCTCGGGCCCTTTTAACTCACGGTCGGGCTTCCCGAGCCGCCTAGCTGTGCCTGCACGCTTGGCGCCGCGCCTGATGAAAAAACTCATCCTCCTCCTCCTCCTCCTCCTCCTCTCCTCCTCCTCCTACTCCTCCTCCTCCCTCCCTTCCTCCTCCTCTTCATTTCCTCCTCTGTTCCTCCTCCCTCCCCTCCCCTTCCTCCTCCCTCCTTCCTCCTCCCATCTGTTGTCACTCCTCCTCCTCCCTCCTCCCTTCTCACTCCTCCTCCTCCTCCTCCTCCTCCCTCCTCTCCTCCTCCTCCTCCTCCTCCTCCTCCTCCTCCTCCTCCTCCTCCTCCTCCTCCTCCTCCTCCTCCTCCTTTCCTCCTCCTTCTGAGAAGTCGGAGGGTGGTTTTGCGCTGATAGCAATGGCGGCCAAAGTCGTCGTCAAGACCTGCGCCGCGAATGCCTTCAAGGACGAGCTCTGGGGGCGCATTCGTGCGGAGCGCCAGGGGCGGCATGCGGACTGGCCCCGAAGCATGGCTCGGGCAGCCCCCCAGGAGCTCCCCTCCCCCGCCAGGGGCCCCAGAGGGTGCCAGCAGGCCACAAAGGGGTCCCCAAAAAGAGGCCTCTAAGAGGCCCCTCAACTGACACCACGAGGCCTGTCAGAGACCTCTAGTCAACGGCCGAGGCTCGGTGGAGGGATGGAACGAAGATGGTCAAATGATCCACTCCTGATTCTACCATACGTCAGTCTCTGCGCGCCGTGACTATGATATATGTTCGTCCTCGTCGGAATCGTCGTTGTCATCATGGTATTATTGTTGACGACGCTCCTCCGCATGATCCCTGTCCTCCCCCCACCCCACCATGTTCGTTCATCAATATTGTCACCATCCTAACCATCAATATCCTCATCGCCACCACAGCCAAGAACAACAGCATCACCATAATCAGCAGCACCGGCATCATCATCATCATCATCATCATCATCATCATCATCATCACCACCATCATCATCATCATCAACATCGTCATCCGCAACATCACCATCCTCATCAGCAGTATCATCATCGTCGTTACCATCATCATCAGCATCCGAAGCATCACCCGTATCACCACACTCATCATCGTCATCCGCATCTTCATCATCACCGTCACCATCATGTAGCCTCGTCACCCACACCCTCAACATCATCAACATTAGCATCATATTCACCGTCATCATCCTTATCCTCGATCGTCATCACTCTGCCACACAATCATCGCCATCACGCTCACCACCCTAAGCGTCACCAGCAGCAGCCGCAGCATCATCATCATCATCACTACCAACAGCACCATCATCATCAGCAGCATCAGCATCATCAGTATAATTATCAACAATCCTGTGGTGTTGGGTCTTCATTTTGAAGAGACAGCGCCCGCGTCCTCCTTCATTCCGTCCTTCTCCTCCCGCGGCATCCCTTCCTCCCCCTCCTTGCCTCTGCCCTCCGCATGTATCTCTGTCGGCGCACCCCTCACACGCTTCGTGGCCCCACAAGGAGCTCAAACTACGGTCCCAGTGGCGGAACTCGCATGCGGCCCCCGCACCCATTTTGGCACACCCCTCACACGCTTCGTGGCCCCACAGGGAGCTCCACCTAAGGTCCCAGTGGCGGAACTCGCATGCGGCCCCCGCACCCATTTTGGCACACCCTTCGCACGCTTCCTGGCCCCATAGGGAGCTCCACCTAAGGTCCCAGCGGCGGAACTCGTACGCGGTCCCCGCACCCATTTCGGCACACCCCTCAACCGCTTCCTGGTCCCATAGGGAGCTCCACCGCAGGCCCCAGTGGCGGAACTCGCATGGCGGCCTCGGGCCATTTCGGCATACCCCTCACACGTTTCGTGGCCCCATAGGGGCGCCGTCCTCGTCGTCGTCGGCGCCCGCGAAGACGGTCGCAAACGTGTACCTGAGCATGTCGGGCTCTGGCGGGAAGCCGTGGCCACATAGGAAGCGTGGGCGAAGATGGTATTCACAATCGCGGTACTCACAACTGCGTATGGTTGGGTCTTTCGCCAGGCGAATTATCTTTTCAATAAAAACATCGTGACCATCTTCAGCGCTAGCATCGCCACCACCACCACCACCACCAGCATCATCACCACCACTACCATCATCATAATCATCAGCACCATCACCATCACCATCACCATCACCATCACCATCATCATCATCATCATCATCATCATCATCATCAGCATCATCATCATCATCCTCATCATCATCATCATCATCATCATCATCAGCAGCATCATCATCATCACCATCACCATCAGCAGCAGCAGCATCACACGCCTTATCCTCCTGCTCACGACGCACCCGTCACTTCTTTGTCCTCCGCATCCTCCCCAGATTCCTCCCACTCCCCATCATCACCATCGTCGCTCCTCACCCCTCACCCTCGCACTCACCACTCCCTCACTCGCCCAACGGCCCCCGCAGACGATTGGACATGCTGCAGGGGGGGAGGGCGATCAGGCGGCAGCTCCTGCCAGCCCGCCCAGCGTGCCGGCGCCGTCGAACGTGGTCGGCGCCCAAGGGTTGAAGCCCCGCGGGGGCTCCTGGAAGGACGGCAGGGCGCAAGCAGAGCCAGACCGCCACGACCCCTCTCCAGCAGGAAGGGGAGGCGGAGAGGGGTGGAAGGGAGGAGCGAGAGACGGAGACGAGGAGAATGGCTCCTGGCGCACGCATGCTCGACCCGCGCGGCCTCGTCCCAAGGCAGACGTATCAACGGAGGCTGGCGACTTAGGATTCCCATCGGAAGCGCTTGCATGTTCTGTGCGTGTCGTCGCAAGAGCACCATCACTCACAAAAAAGAAGAGATATCCTCGGAGGCTGGCGACTTGTGGACCCCAACGGAAGCGTTTGCATGCTCTGCGTCTGTCGTCGCAGGGGGATCATCGTGATGATGATGAGTGTCCTGAAAAGCTGGTTTGGCAAACCGATGGATACACATGGAGCACGGGCCGTCCACATGTGCATCCAGCCCGAGGCCCCGACTAACACTGCACATGGATCCAGCCATGGCCTTTTCCACCACCGGACACGGGCTGCGCAGAATGTGATGCACTTAGCTCTACTTCCCGATGCGCCTTCAAATCGCTGAGCGCCAGGGCCCGCGGGTGGGGGTCCCCAGTTTCACGGCGCATCCCAGGTGTCCTCCTCCTCCTCCTCCCCACCGCCCTCCTCAGACCCCCGAGGCTAAGCACACCACCCCAAGGCCCCCTCAGACCTCGTCGCCCTCATCACGGGGGGCCCCTGCGGATCCCCTCAATGCCTCCGTAGGCCGCCAGAGGCTTCCGCGCAGCTTGGTAACACAGTCTCCGGGATCCAGACGGAGAGGGAGGGGGCAGAAAGCCTCCTCGAGGAGCCGGCGGTGCTGCACGCCAAGTTGGCATGAAGCAGGCGGACCCTGGCGGAAACGGATCTGGAAACCCTGGGCCTTCCCGCGGGACCAGCTCTCCATCCAGAGACGCGTTTTGGCGATCCATCGGGGCCCAGGCAGAGTGCCAGCAGGCCAAGACGCAAGCCCCCGCAACTGTTTCCATCAGGACCCCTCTGCTCCATTGGGAGGGGCTCGATGTAGTCCTGAAAAGTCTTTAGAACACCCCCCCATAAGGGGGTAACTAGTTATTTGCTCGGGGGCCTAATTGAAGGACTGGGGTCCCACCAATAGGGTGTAATTAAGTTGTTTGTTTGCCGCGGCACCCGCCGTGCAGCGACGAGGAGGAGGAGGTCAGCATCTGGCGGCATGCCGCCTGGTGGCCTCGACCGAGGCTCGGAGTGTAGCGCTGCGGGCGGCCACAGTGTGCTGCATCCTCGCCTGCAGCAACTTGCCGAGAAGCCATAGCGCATGCTGCCACGCCCCGTCCTTCTCGCAGTCAATGATGGCGGCTTCGTGCAAGTCGAAATCGGGCTCCACTTCCACCTCAACCGCCTTGACGAGCAGCGATAGGGCCCGCTGCCACTGCTTCCCGTTCCTACAAGCGTTGGTTCCATCCTTGTAGCTGATGATCGTGGGCTCAAGCTTTCATTCCACTATCTCGTTAAACAGCAACAGGGCCCGCTGCCACTGCTTGCCTTTATCACACGCGCTGATCCCAGCGTTGTAGCTGATGGTATCGGGCTCCAACTTCGTCTCGACCATCTCGCCGAGCAGCGCCCCCGCTGCCACTGCTCGCCCTACGCGCGCGCACTGATCCCAGCGTTGTAGCTGATGAAAGTGGGCTCCAGAGACGCCTCACACATCTCGCTCAGCAGCGCCAGCGCCCGCTGCCACTGCTTGCCTTTCGCGCGCGCGCTGATCCCAGCGTTGTAGCTGATGGTATCGGGCTCCAACTTCGTCTCGACCATCTCGCCGAGCAGCGCCCCCGCTGCCACTGCTCGCCCTACGCGCGCGCGCTGATCCCAGCGTTGTAGCTGATGAAAGTGGGCTCCAGAGACGCCTCACACATCTCGCTCAGCAGCGCCAGCGCCCGCTGCCACTGCTTGCCTTTCGCGCGCGCGCGCTGATCCCAGCGTTGTAGCTGATGACAGTGGGCTCCAGAGACACCTCACACATCTCGCTCAGCAGTTCCAGCGCCCGCTGCCACTGCTTGCTCTTCGCGCACGCGCTGATCCAAGCGTTGTAGCTGAGGACCTTCGGCTCCGACATCGCATCCCGCAACTCGCTGATCCGCTGTCGACATTGGGCTCCAACTTCGCAATCAATATATCGCTGAGCAGTGGCATGACCCGCTTTCAATGCACGCCTCTCTCTCTCTCTATCGCTCTCTCTCTCTCTCTCTCTCTCTTTCTCACACATGCTGATCTCACCGCTGCAGCCAACCAGGGCGGATCCGTGCAATGTTATGCGGAGCAGCGCTTCTGCTGCGCGATAGAAGCAACTGTCAAATCCACAATGCGGATGTCCGTCCACGAAATCAAAATGGTTGCCCAGCAAGTGTTCACACGCACAGTGCTTCGCAAGACACGCAAAAACGCGAAAGACCGATCCCAAGATAGCCTGGAAATCCTGCCGAGTCGAGAGACGACCTCTCATAAGCTGTGGTGCACATGTTGCAACTGATGTCGCTCGTCTCCACATTGCACTCCCGCATCTCGCTGAGCAGCGACAACGCATGCCGCCACTGGCCGCATCTCTCACACGCGCAGGTCGCAGCGTTGTAGCTGATGTCGTTGGGCTCCAGCTTAGCCTCCCGCATCTCGCCCAGCAGCGCAAGCGCCCGCTGCCACTGCTCGCCCTTCTCGCACGCGCTGATCCCAGCGCCGTAGCTGACTAGGGCTGACCCGTGGACTCCGTCCACGACATCTTTCTGGAGTGGTTCTCGGAGGAACAGTGGAGATTTGCGGAAAACCTATAAGCACGGCGGCGGCCGGGGCGGCGAGTGTCCGAGCTCTAGCAGCGCTCCAGCAGCTTGGCCGTCGCGGGGCCGCCGTCGTCGCCGTCATCGTCGGCGATGTTAGCGTCGCCGCCGCGAGGCCGCCGTCGTATCCGTCGTAGACGGCGTCGTTGCCGTGGTGGTGGTTGGCGTCGTCGTGGGTTGTGGACACCGGAAGAAGGCTGGCGAAGTCGGCAGGACTGACCCATGGACTCCGTCAAAGAGGCCCCCAGGAAGGCTGCAGGAGCGAGGCACGTCAGGGCCCCAAGAGGCCCGGGAGAAGGCTCGTGAACGACCAAAAATGAAATGGATTTTGGGCCAAATCTGGCAGGGAGCGCCGAGCAAGCGTCAGGAAGGCCGAAGAGCCCTATGCGGAGCTGTCAGAATCGGCGCCTGGGCCCCCCCCCTGTAGAAGCGCACCAGTGTTGTCTGCTGCGTCCAGCCGTGGTGGCGAGGAGCCCTCCTGAAGGCGAACTGTCTGTGGGTGAACTCTGCCTCCGCCGATTTCGTCTGGCCCGAGCCTGGGCAGAGGCTGGCATCCTCTCTGCGTCCATCGCCTGGGCCGCCTCTTGGAAGCACGCCAAGATCCTGCGCCACCCAAACACCTCGCGGCGCTGCGCCGCGCGAGGCCCGGTAACCTTCGCGCCCTTGTGCCCGCACCCTCGGAGACGGGCAGCGCTCCGTATGCAGCCACGAGCCGTGTGAGGGGTGCGCCGAGCTGGAGGGTAGAACCGCTGCCCGCCCTTCTCTGACACAACATTGGTTTCGTCTCCACCCTCCATCTCCGCAGAAACGAAACCCAGGACCCCAGAGTAAGCGCCGAAGCGCAGGTTTGCGAAAGACGTCTCGCCAGAACCCTGGAGCCCACCTGGGACCTTGAAGAATAAACCTCGAGCGTGGTGTTTATTTTCCGTCGACGTGGCGGGCCGAGGGACGGTCTTAGGGGGCGTTTTCTCGGCCGACCGCGGGACCCCGGAGAATGGCGTCCGAGGTTACGGAGTCTTTTTCGTGGGCGTCGTTGATCCACGAACGATCCGTGCGAGACGTCTGTGCCCCATCTGGAGCCTGGGGGTGAACCTTCAGAGTTGATACTGGCATTCTTCCGAGCCGACGAACGTCCTGGGCGAAGATTATTTGCTCCGCCCCAGGGTGTCGGATAACAACCTCCAAGTCTGGGTTAATTTTCCGTGGGTGTGGCCGCGCCCCAGGTAATGCATTGGGAGGTTAGAGACGAAACACCGCAGAAACGAAATCCAGAACTCCAGAGTAAGCGTCAAAGCGCAGGTTGAAGACAGACATCTCGCCAGAACCCTGGAGCCCACCTGGGACCTCGGAGAATAAAGCTCGAGCGTGGTGCTTATTTTCCGTCGACGTGGCGGGCCGAGGATTGGTCTTGGGTTTTTTGGGGGGGCGACCGCGGGACCATGGAGAATGGCCTCGGAGGTTAAGGAGTCTTCTTCGTGGGCGTCATTGATCCACGAACGATCCGGGGGAGATGTCTGCGCCCCATCTGGAGCCTGGGGGAAGACTTCGAAAGAGGTACTGGCATTCCGTGGACGTGGCGAGTCGACGAACGTCCTGGGAGAGGGTTGGTTGCTCCGCCCCAGAGCGTCGGAAAATAAACCTCGAAATCGGGGTTTACTTTCCGTGGGTGTGGCCGCGCCCCGGGGCCTCTGTTCCGCCTTGTAAGAAGCTCTTGGGGCCCTGGTGGGCCGTCTTGCGGCCTCCTGGGAGCCTCTTGGGGCCCTCTTGGGCCGTCTCGGGTGCCCCTTGGGCCGTCTAGGGGCCGTCAGGGACCGTCTTGGGCGGCTCCGGGGCTGTCCTCGGACCGCCTTGGGGCTCTCTTAGGTCGTCTTTAGGACCGTCGCGGCGCTGTCATGGCAGCCTCTTGGGCTGCCATCGGCGCCTCAAGAGCCATCGTGGGGCCATCTTCGGGCCGTCCAGGGGGCTTCCAGAGGCGTGGTGGGGTGATCTGGAGGGCCAGTAGGGACGTGTGGACATCGCAGTGGACCTGGAGAAACGATTTTTCATTGATCTGGCTTTTTGGGGGCTCGTCCTGGAGCTGACTTGTAGCGTCTCGGGAGGACTTTTGGGCCGTCTGGTGCCTAGCTTGGGCATCTCGGAGCGCTGTGGGACCTAGTCGAAGGCCCTCTGGGGCCGTCTTGGGTGCTCTGGGACCGTCGTGGGGCGACCAGGGGGGCCGTAGTGGGGCGACCAGGGGGGCCGGTTACGCCCCGCCAGCGCCCGCACTTCCCGCACGCACGTGTCCCTGCGTTGTAGTGTAGACTAGAGTGGCCCCGTGAACGAAACTCATGGCAAGCAGATGGACATGCTGCCCAGGACTCCTGGGTGCAAGGGACAGGGTTCAGGGGCCCGAAGAGAGGGATTCGGGGCTGGCTTGTGCCTGTGCTGGGCCTTCTTGTGGCCGTGCTGGGCCCTCCTGGGCCGCGGTCTTGGGACGGTCTGGAAGCCATCTTGAACTTGTCTTGAAGCGGTTTGGGACCATCTGGGCCAGGCCAGGGCCAAGCAAGCCAGGAGGCTAGCAGCATTCGATCCGCAAGGACGTTCAGTGCTTTCGCCTCTCAGAGGCCTCTTTTGATCGTCGTCAGGTCCGTCGTCGGGCCTCCAGGGGAGCATATCGGGGCGTCGGGCCCGCCTCGGCGGGTGCTGGACCACGACGAGGCAACCTGGGAGCATCTTTGCACGCGTCTTGGGGTCCCTTGGGCCTGCTGAGACCGTCTGGGGCACTGTGGCGACCTTCTTGGGGCAGCCCTGGCTTTCTTGGACCATGTGGGGTGGTCGAGGGGTGGTCAACAGGGCTGTCTTGCAGCTCTGCAGGGACCGTCGGAGCTTTCTTGGACCGTGCTGGGGCAGTCAGGGGCGATTTGCAGGCGACATTGGGATTCCATTGAGCTGTCTTGGGCGCACATGGGCCCGTCACGACGAGGATGAGAGCAGGATGACAAGCAGAAAAGGAGGAGGACCGATCAGATACCTTGATGTTCTCCGTAGGGGCCTTTAAGGGCGTTATTGGGGCCTTCACCTTGGCCGTGTTGGGGCCTCCTGGGAAGGCATGGTGTGGTCGTTTGTGGCCTTCTGGAACTTCCTGGAAACTTTGCGAAGACCGTCGACGAGAAGAGGCCGTGAGGGCCGAAGCAATTAAAAGTTCCCTGGAGTTCATGTTCTTTTCGGCTCTTGTGGGGATGGATTGTGGACCCCTTGGAGCTCCCATAGGGGGATCGTCGCGACCTTCATTCTGGCGGCCCCCTGGGATTGTAGTAGGCTGAGGGGGCTCTCCACATCCTTTCTTTGACTTATCGGGGCCGTCAACGGGCGCCCTGGGAGTTCGGTCGGACCAGCCCAGGAGTGGGTAGGCGGGAGGGGGTGCTGCTCCGCGGAATCGCGAAGTTCGCTGCCGACATTTCTCATGCTCAGACTGGGCCTGGCATATTTGCGCTGACTACGTCATTCCGCTTCCTCTGCGCCGCACATCTCCCTTGCCAACGACTGCACCAACATCATGTGTCCGCCTTGCTCGCACGTGCTGGCTACAATTCCATAAACGAAGACGTTGGGGTGCAATGTCGTGAAGAGCATCTCTCTGAGCAGCGATAGAGCTCTCTGCCACCGATCGCCTTCGTGGCACGCGCTGATCGCAGCGCTGTAGCTGATGTCTAGCCGTCTTGGACGCTGTGGGGACGAAAAAAAAACATAGCACAATGTGCGTTTCCCGAATGGAATGGGACGACTTGGGCCTCTTGGGACTCTCCCGGAGGCTCTCCTGAGCCGTCTTGGGGGCCTCCTGGCCTGCCTTTGGGGCCTCTGGGGCTGCCTTGGGGCTCCCAGGTGTGCTCTGAAGCCGTCTTGGCGCCCCCTGGAGCCTCTCGGAGCCGTCCCAAAGCCGTCTGAAGCCATTTGGGGGGCATCTGGACCCCCCCTGTTGGGGCCGGAACCAACTTTCAAGACAGAGACCCTTCTCGCACGCACAGGTCGCTGCATTGTAGAAGAGATGACAGTGGGCTCCAGGTTCACCTGCCGCATCTCGCTCAGCAGCGCGAGCGCCCGCTGCCACTGCCCGCCCTTCTCGCACGCGCTGATCCCAGCATTGCAGCTGATGAAGTCGGGCTCCAGCTTCGCATCACACATCTCGCTGAGCAGCGCCAGCGCCCGCTGCCACTGCTGACCTTTCTCGCACGCGCTGACCCCAACATTGTAGCTGATGACGTCGGGCTCCAGCTTGACTTCCCTCATCTCGCTTAGTAGCGCCAGCGCCCGCTGCCACTGCTCGCCCTTCTCGCACGCGCTAATGACAGCGCTGCAGCTGATGACGTTAGGCTCCAACTTCGCCTCCCACATCTCGCTCAGCAGTGCCAGCGCCCGCTGCCACTGCTCGCCCTTCTTGCACGCGCTGATCCCAGCGCTGTAGTTGATGACGTTGGGCTCCAAGCTCACCTGCCGCATCTCGCTCAGCAGCGCGAGCGCCTGCTGCCACTGATTGCTCTTCTCGCACGCGCTGATCCCAGCATTGTAGCTGATGACGTCGGGCTCCAAATATGTCTCGGCCATCTCGCTTAGTAGCGACAGGGCCCGCTGCCACTGCTGACCTTTCTCGCACGCGCTGATCCCAGCGTTGTAGCTGATGAAGTCGGGCTCCAGTTTCGTCTCGCCCATCTCGCTGAGCAACGACAGGGCCCGCTGCCACTGCTGACCTTTCTCGCAAGCGCAGATCCCAGAGTTGTAGATGATGTTGTCAGGCTCCAATTTCGTCTCGACCATCTGGCTGAGCAGCGACAGGGCCAGCTGCCACTGCTGACCGTTCTCACACGCGCTGATCCCAGCACTGTAGCTGATGACGTCGGGCTCTAGCTTCGCCTCCCACATCTCGCCGACCAGTGCCAGAGCCCGCTGCCACTGCTCGCCCTTCTCGCACGCGCTGATCCCGGCATTGTAGGAGACTAGGGCTGACCCGTGGACTCCGTCCACGACATCTTTCTGGAATGGTTCTCGGAGGAACGGCGCAGATTGTACCGAAAATCTACAAACACGGCGGCGGCTCGGGCGGCGGCAGCGAGACCGCGCCTTCGTGTCCGAGCTCTTGCAGCGCTGCAGCAGCTTGGCCCAGCGCACTGCTCGTTCACCCCCCTCCTATTGAGGACAGTTTCGAAGTCTCTCGGGGATGTGCGTCGAAGTCGAAGCCATCTGAGGCGTCTCAGGAGCGCTCGGGGAAGGGCTCGGGAGGCCATCGGGGAAAGCCACCGAAAGCGCCGGGGAGGCTCGCAAGGATCTACAGGGAGGGCCCAAGAGAGCTTCAAGAGAATTTGAAATCCAGTGAACTCTTAAGAGAAACCGCTGTTGGGTCGGCCATCACCTCCGGGCGCGCCTTGATGGTGCGATCCAGTCGCATCACCGCCAACGGGAGGGTTTGTTCGCCATGTCCCATTCTGTTCGCCCAGAGGGTCAGTGGAGGCCTTCGGGCGAACAGAACGGGACAGGGCAAGGAATGGGGAAGACATGTCCGAATCTCCTGGGCCCCACAGATGCTCGTCCGAAGAATGCGGAGAGGTCCCAGGGTCATATCAATTGGCTGCTGTCCCAGGGGTCCGGTCTGCTTGGCCCGAAGAGTTTGCCAAGGCCCCTGGGGGAACAGAATGGCACAGCATATCGGGCAAAGGGGGGCGGTAGATGGCCTGTCAGACCCGGCGTTCGTCTTCTGCCCAAGCGGCGCGGGGCCCACGGGCCCCAGGGTTGGCGGCCCGCTGGGATTCCTCTTGTTCGCCCACAGGGTTGGAGGAGGCCTCCAGGCGAACAGAATGGGGCAGGACAATGAATGTGGGAGACTTGTCGCAAGCTCCCAGCCCCCCAAGTGTGCGCCCGAAGGGTGTGGGGCCGCGTTGGCTCCCTCAAAGGGCCGTCTTGGAGCCGTCTAGGCCCGTCTTGAGGGCGCCGTTTGCCCTGATGGGGCCGTCTTGGTTCGTCGTGGGCCCCTCATGGGCGCGTCCGTAGGCCGTCCTGGGCCATCGGGGTCCTCGTGGGGCTGTCTTGGAGCCGTCTGGGACCGTGAGGAGGCCGCCTTGGAGTCGTCTTGGGCCCCTCCTGTGCGCCTCCTTGGGCCGTCCTGGGCCCAGCAGGGGCCATGTTGGCACCCTCTTGGGGCTGTCTTGGAGCCGTCTTGAGCCGTCGCAGCGCGCCTTGGGTTGTGCTGGGTCCGTCTTGGCCCGTCTTGGGGCCTTCCTGGGCGGTTCCTCGGACCCTCCTGTGACTTTCTGGGGCCTCTTGGTGCATCGGACCGCCGAAACGGCGGGAAACGCAAAGGGTGTCACAGTAAACAATGGAAAATTAACGATTTTTGCCAGCTGGGACTCTCTTGCCATCTTGGCCCGTCTTGAGGCCCCGAACGGGTGCGTCCTTGGGCCGTCCTGGGCGCACCCTCCTGGGACCGTCTTGGAATAGTATTGGGCCGTCTTGAGCGCGCCTTGGGCCGTCCTGGGCCGGTCTGGGGCCGTGTTGGCACCCTCGCGGCGAGGAAGCTCGGAGGCGGGCTCGAGGCCTCTTCGGGGCCATTTTGGAAGCTGTTGGGGCCTCTGTAGGGGCCTCTTGGGCCTCCACTGGATTCGCTGCCCTCGGTCGGCAATCGTCGATCCTACGACGACTCTCCCCAACGGAGAAACATCGAAAGCCCTCGGAGCGTCCAACATTGTTCTTTTGTGCCTTCGATATGCCGGTCGCCTCTCGTCCGCTCCCCCCCTCCTGGAAGCAATTCTGAAGCCACTTAGGGCTTCGTGGGGGCCGTTTGGGGATCTCTTGGGGCGTTTTTGCCTGCGATATGCCTGTCGCCTCTCGTCCGCTCCCCCGCTCCTGGAGGGAATTCTGAAGGCACTGAAGTCTTCGTGGGGGCCGTTTCGGAGCCTCTTCGGCTTTCGTTTGGGCCTCCCGGGGGGGCTCTTAGGGCCCTCTCGGGCCGTCTTGGGTGCCTCTTGGGCCGTCTTGGGGCCGTCTGAGACCCGCCTCGGCGCCTCTTGGGCTGTCGTGGGCCGTCTTGGGCCGCTCCTGGGGTCGTCTTGGGTGCCTCTTGGGCCGTCTTGGGCGCCTCCTGGGCCGTCCGGGGGCCGTCCTGGGGCGTCTTGGGACCGTCTGGGGGCCCTCCTGGCCCGTCTTGGGGCTCTCTTGGGGTCCTCTTCGGCCGTCTTGGAGCGGTCGGGAGGGCTTCTTGGGCCGTCTTGGAGCGTCGGGAAGCCGACGAGGCGAGGAGGCCGAAAACATCGAAAAATACAATAGAAATCGACGATTTCTGTCGCTCGGGGCCCTCTTGGGAGGCCTCTTGGGAGGCCTCTTCGGGCGTCTTGGACGCCTCTTGGGCCGCCTGGGGCGAATCTCGGGCGTCTTGGGCCCATCTTTAAGCGTGCCGGGGCTCTCCGGGGCCGTCTTGGGGGCTTCTGGGGGCCCTCTCGACATGTCCTGGGGCCTCCCTGGGCGGCCCGGGGCCAGCCCGGGGCGGTTTCGGTGCATTGGGGCCTGCGCCCTTCTGGCACGCACTGGGCCCTGCAATGTAGTAGAGACTAGGGCTGACCCGTTGACTACGCCCACGAAGCCTTTACAAACTTGCATGTGATTGCGGCCATGCTGCCGAAAAGCTGAAATCATAATGCTAGGCTCGACCATCGCTTTCCGCGCCTGCTACTGCTTGCTGCTGCTTGCTGCAGCTGTTGCGTGGTGTTGGTCATGCTTGCCGATGTTGCGTGCTGTTGCTACTTGTGGCTGCAGGGTGCTGCTGGTGGCTAGTCCTGCTTGGTGCGTACTGTTGCCCGCTGCCTGCTGCTGCCGCAACCTGCTGCCAGGAGAGGAGAGGAGATCGAGGAGGGAATGCAGACAAGCGAAGGGCGATCAACAAGAGGGAAACGGGAGGAGCGACGGCTGAGGAGACCGAGACGAGGAGAGAAAGAGGGAGAGCCGAGGGAGGAGGCGGGAGGGGCGAGGGACCCCTTGGGAGTCTCTTGGCGTCCTCTCGGGATGTCTCTCGGGGGGCCTCCCTGGGCCTGCGCGGGGCCTGCATTGGGGTCTCTCCGTCCACGTCAACCAGCGTGTCCGGCGTGTGCTTATTGCCAGCTGTTTCTGCAGACTGCTGCTTGCGAACGAACTGCCTGCTAGCGTTGGCTTGTGCTGGCTTTTTGCTGCTTGCTTGCGTGCTGGCTAGATAGCTCGTTTGCTGGATTGCATACTGTTTGCTGCTGCCGCTTGCTGGTGCTTGCTGCCGGAAGCTTTAGTGGGGCTCGCGTGCCTTAAACCTTGGCCTTGTCGTGACTTTGCGGGCCTTCTTGGGCTAGCTCAGAGCCCAGCTGGGCCTTCGAGGTGTAAGAGGGCCGTCGGAGAGGGCGTCCTGTGCCCTGTGGGCCGATCTTGAGCCGCCTTGGGGCCGTATGAAGGCCAAGGGGGGAACTTGAGAAGCGCACGCCTTCGTTTTCCTACGACGCTCCGTCGTGGCCGTGGCCGCCCGAGGAGGTCGGAGGAGGCGCACGGGCCCTGCGCCCCCAAGAAGGCAGAAGTCGCTGCGAAGCATGCCCTGGTGGCCGGCGGGCCCCACTCGCGAGGAGAACTCCTCGACGGGTCGTCCATTCAGACGGGGGCCGCTCCAGAGAAGGGGGGAACAGAAGGCTCCCATGGTCGCGTTATGTTCCGGGGTGGCTGTCACGTTCCCAGAACTCTACAAGTGATCTTCCCTCGGAAGCCTCCTCGAGGCGGTCGTGGGGATGTCTTGAGGCCTCTTGGAGGCCTCTTGGGACCTTAATTGGGCCTCTTGGGGGCCTCCTGGGGCTTCCGGCGGCTCTCTTGGGGGGCCTGCTGGCGGTCTCGGGGGTCGTCGTCTTGGGGCGAACGTGGCAACATATCAGCTCGAGATCCCCCCCAACTGGGGCTCCCTTGGAACCCTTTTGGAGCTGTCTGCGGCCGCCTTGGGGGCCTCTTAAACTGTTTTTGTGGTATCCTGGGCTGGCAGGGAGCCCTATTGGGGGCCTGTTCGAATGTCTGGGAGCGACATTGGGGGCCTCTTGGGCCGCTCGGAGAATACTTAAGCAGGGCGAAATATTTTCCTCTTGAGGTGAAGATGGCCATGCGGAGTTCGCGAGACAACGTCGGCGCCGCCGAACGGACGACGACCGTACGAGCTCTTTGCAGCAACCGGGGGGAGAGGGATGTATGTATTCATGTTGAATGGGGCCCGCTCGCGCGGGGAGTTGATGGGAGTGCGCGAGACGACGCAAGGCCCATCGTGGAAATATGATTACCGACCCCCCCTCCCCCATAGAATCTTAACACGGGCGGTGTGCGGGGTACGCGGATCCGATTTCTTCCGGTCCCCTGTTTTACTTTCATAACATGAATGTAAAACAGGGTAGAAATCGGATCCGCCGTAAAAAATGAGACCTGACACGGATCCAGTTAATCCGAAAACGGATCCGTACGGACGGAAATCGGATCCACCGAAACAAACACCAAAAGCACAATTGGATCCGCGCGAACTTCATGGGATCCGACGGCGGTTATCTCATACGGGTCTGTTCAAGACTTCACACCGTCGTTCCGGGCCCAAGAGGAAAAAAACTTTCGCCCTGGGGATGTAGGAAGCTCGAGAAGGCGAGAATATCAACATCCTCAGACAATCCTCCAACAATCTCAGGCAAATCAATAAGATTTGGCGTCCTCGTGACGTCGTCGGGATCCTCCTAGGTCGTCTTGGGCCGTCTTGGTAGCCTCCTGGCTTGTGTGGTCTAGCAGTCTGGAAACGCTTCTCACCGTCGTGAGGCCGTCTTGGCGACGTCTTGGGCCGTCTGGGTCACCTTGGGGCTCTCTGGAGGCCCGCCAGGGCCCGCTGGGAGCGATGTTTGCCACTGCGCGCCCCCACCCCTTTGGGCAAACTAGGGCGAACCTATGGACTGCCGTCCACGAGGTCTGTCTAAAGTGGAACGTGATGGCATGTGGGGATTGCCACATAAGCATAAACTTTCAGAGGTCTGCACGGATTCATTGGGTCGACGTTGGAGGCGTCGCCAGTGGAGATGCAGTGCAGGCCCAAGAAATCCGCGGGGACCTCCCACGAGGAGCGTCCAGCGAGGAGCGAGGAGGGAAAAACACCAGCCCAAGACAGAGAGGCGAGGAGGGACGAGGGAAAGCCAAGGAAGGGGGAGGAGCGAGGGCGAGGTGCGAGTGACCAGAAGGGAAGAGGGAGACGCCAGGAGAGGAGCAAGGAGGAGTGAGAAAAGAGGAGAGGCGAGAAGGGACTGGGGAGAGCCGAGGAGGGGGCAGGGACGAGGGGTGTCCGAGTAGCCGAAATTGAGGAGCAAGAGGGGAGCGCGGAGGCCTTCGAAGACAGGAGAAATGAGCGGGGAGAGAGGGTGGGGGACTGATGCGCGAGGCTTGAGAAGCGACCCGCACACGAATCTCCCAACGGCCTCGGAGCGCGTGTAAGTAGCCTAACACCTGGTCTCCCCTTGGGCCGGCCATGAAGACAACTTGAGGCCTCTTTGGAGGCCTCTGGGGCACCCTCGCGGCCATCCCGCACCTTCTGGGGCCACCAACGCGTCCCTTGTGACCCCTGGGGTGCCTTTTGTGCAGATGCAGGGGCGTTCGAGGAGGACCTTGGCGCAATCTTGTCCTGGGCCGTCTTGGGGCCAGGTCAGAAGCCAGCTGGGCCCATCTTGGTGGCGTCTGTAGCCGTCTAGAGGGCTCTTGCAGGACGGCTCTTGCAGGACCTGTGGGCCCGGGAGCCATGCCATGAGCCGTCAGGAATCGCAGCGTGAAGAGGACCTCGCATCCTGGGGCCCTGCGCGGAGCCATCCTGGAGTCACTCGGGGCCACTCCTGCGCCATCTTGGGGAGTCTTGTGGGCTCTTTCGGGCCGCCTGAAGCCCTCCGACGGCTACACACAGCCATCTCGGAACGCCCAGGGAGCGCCCAGGGGCCCTCGGGACTGCTCTGAGAGGCGCTGGGTGCGTTTTGCGGACTCCAGGGGCCCTCGCGGAGCTCCGAAAACTCAAGCAGTGCACAGGCGGTCTTCGCACGCATGCGCCTCTGACGTGTGAAAGAGAAGACGTCGGGCTCCATCTTCGCCTCCCACATCTCGCTGAGCAGCAGCAAGGCCTGGTACCACTGTCTGCCTTTCCCGCACGCGCTGATCCCAGCGTTGTAGCTGACTGCAATGAAAGTAGGATGTAGCACCTCGTAGCTGCTGATCTGAGTGAGGGGGCAAGCGCGGGGTGGGTCGCGGGTGTGTCGCGGACGGGTCGCGGGTGGGTCGCGGGGGTGTCGCGGGAGTCGCGGGTGGGTCGCAGGTGGGTCGCAGGTGGGTCGCGGGACGGTCGCGGTCGGGTCGCAGGTGGGTCGCGGGTGGGTCGCCAGGGTCGCGGGAGGGTCGCGGGCTGGGCCGCGAGTGGGACGACAATAACAACAACAATAATAGCAACATCAATAACAACAACAACAACAACAACAACAACAACAACAACAACAACAACAACAACAACAACAACAACAACAACAACAATTACTACCACGTGGGGACACTCCGTTCTCACCAGTGCCAGGGTTTTCATAGGAGGCGGGCAATACCCCAACTTTGTGGGGGGGCCGGTTCAAGCTCTACCAAATTTCCAAACGACTCTTCGCCACCACCCACACCCAGCTTCCCGCCCTATGACGTTCGGACACTTAACTTCGTGGCATGCGGACGACCGTGGCTACTATTCAGGGCCCCGCGGCCGACGACGACGGCGTGCGCGCGCGAAGAAAAAACGAATGTGTCCCGCATGGTATTATTTGACAGGGATGATGGCCCTGGCAGGTGCGCAACCGTCGTTGCAGAAGTTTGAAAAAGTTGCTCGCAAAAGCCCGTTTGACAGAAATGTTGAAAAAGTGTTGGGTTCCCTACGAATCCGCAAGAGCGCGCGGGATGAAATTTTGACATTTGTTTTTTGAAAAACCATTGGTTTTTTGATGTTTTTATGTTAAAATCGTTACGAAAACAAAGGTTTTGGAAGGATTTCGTCTTGCGCGCGCGAATGTCCACTTTACCTTATTTGTTGCAAGGGATTCTTGAAGTTTGGTTATGTTAGAACAAGAAATGTCCACTTTAGCTTGTTTTTTGCAAGGGAAAACCGATCGTAACAACACAACCGGATCCGGACCAACCCGTTTTGCCTGAGACTTCCTCACGAAAATGATGAAAACGTGGCTGCGGCCTAGGCGCGGCGGGGGGGTCGTGCACCAGGGGTCCCAACAATAATTATTCTTTAGAAGTAATAATGTTCAACAACAACAACAACAACAACGACGACGACGACGACAACAACAACAACAACACCAACACCAACACCAACACCAACACCAACACCAACACCAACACCAACACCAACACCAACACCAACACCACCAACAACAACAATCATGTTAAAACGGTTCGCTCTTACTGGCACGCGTGTCTTGCATTCCGTATACCCCAACCCTCGACACCCGCCCATTTCGTCTTCGATTGCACCCCCTTTTCGGGGGGGGTCTCTTCCCTGTCGGCCACTGACGAAAGTGCGAAGAAGTCTCGAACCAGAGCGTTTTTCCTGAGTTCAGGGGCCTCTCTGGCCAAGGGCTCCCGGAATACTTTCGGAGAAAAACTTAACGAGAGCCTTTGTCGCCGTGTCCAGGCCTCCACCAACTTGCCCGAATTACGGGGCAGTCTCGAGCGAGAGCGCAGTTCCTGAGTTCGGGGGCCTTCTTGGCCAGGGGCTCTCGGAGTAAATCGTGAGGAACCCTTGTGGTCGTGGCTGGGCCTCCGCCAACTTAATTGAACTGGGAGGAAGTATCGAGCGAAAGCGCTGTTCCTGAGTTCGGGGGCCTCTCTGGCCAGGGTGTCTCGGGGTAAAATGTGAGGACGTATCGAACGGGAGCCGTTGTTGTCGTAGCTGGGCCTCCAAGGGCACCCATTTAAGTTCTTAAGGTCAAGCCAACGCTCGAGCGGGAGCCTCGTTTTCAGCGAAAATGTAGCCGCCGTCGAGGCGAGAGCGCGCGGAACCGTCTCTGGAGATCAACAATAATTAATCTTTTTGAAATGAATATTCAACATCAGCAACAACAAACAAAAGCAGCAACAACAACAACCACGACAACAACAACAGCAGCAACAACAACAAGAGCAACAACAGCAACAACAACGACAACAATACTAATCATTTTAAGCCAGTTCGGGTATTCATGGGAGGAGGAACGAGACACGGTGGGGATAAGGAGAAAAACCAAGGCGAGAGCGTGATTCCTGAATGTCGAGGGCGTGGTGCCTTAGTACATTGTGAGGTCGTACCATGCGAGAAAGCGATTCCTGCATACATTGTGCGGACCTCAAGGGAGTCCAGGGCGATGTTGAAATTTATCGTGAAGACGTTACCGGTGGGAACGTGTAATTCGTGGACCAGCGGCCCGATCAGAACTTCAATAATTCCCATTGACAAAAAAAAGGTGCGAGCTCAATTCAGAGCACTATACTTGAACATAACAGTGGGCACTGGGTGGCGGGGTTTAACAATACTTTGTCGTTAGACATACAGCTTCGACAACAACAACACACTCCGGCAACAACAACAATAACAACAGCAGCATCAACAGCAACATAAACAACGATACGTATCATATCAAAACTGTACGTTCTGATCCGCTCGCGTGACATTCAACATGTACATCCAAACGCTCGGTACCCACCCTCTTCGTAAACGATCGTACCCCCTTTGGGGGATACCTGCTTTTTACCTGCAAGGTGTATCTCGTACAGCACCCAAGACAGGCGAAGAGTGGATGGATGGAAGGAAGGGGCAGGGGGGAGAGAGGAAAATGGGGTACGAGAGAGAATAGCAAGAGGGTGGATCAGAACAGATAGCACGTGGCAGAACCACACGGGCGGATCGGGCGGGTAGACTCTGGCATGCGGGCCGCTTAGGCCAGGTCGAGCAGCCGCGTTGCTGCAGCGTGCAAAAGCCGTGAAGTTTCCTTCGTACCTGGTGCCGACCGAAGTTTCCTTCGTACCTGGTGCCGATCCTCAAGATTGCAGCGTGCATTGTCAGCGATCTGCGCCGGTGCCTCCCTGGCGCGTTCTGCGTGCCGCGGACGGCCCGACAGCCCCCAGCGGTGACCCCGTCGTCGTCGTCGTCGTCGTCGTCGTCGTCGTCGTCGTCCATTTCTTCCTCCTCCTCCTCCTCCTCCTCGTCCTCCTCCTCGTCCTCCTCCTCCTCCCCCTCCTCCTCCTCCTCCTCCCCCGTCGTCTTCCCTCCTCATTCCTCCTGCTCCTTCCCCTCCTGCTCCCCCTCTTCTTCTTTCCCCGAGGCCCAGAAGCTCCTCCGACCCAATCCTTTTTCCAAAGGCGCTTTGACGCCTCCGTCAAAATGCCCCGAAATCGCCCAGCTCAATGTTAAAGCGTTTCCCAAGGGCCCGCGTGCTTCTCACCGAAGTTCTGACATTTCTCTGAAAGGACCCCCCGTGCATGGGGAGCTATCACGATGGATGCGTGCTGCATATAGAACCCTACAACATTCTGCAACATTCGCAGTTGCAAAAAAAAAAAAAAAAAAAAAAAAAAAAAAAAAATGTGTATGAGCATATATGGAAGCGTCTTCTTTAGATTCTTAGAGCAAAAGGTAAAAAAAAGAATTATTCGAAAACGCATGAAGCGAAACGCTGCGATCAATAGTGGGCGCGTCTGCAAAGGAGGCACTACTATCAACGAGACAGCACATTCTTTTTGCGCTCATTCCAAACGAGACGCTGCTATGCAAGGGTGTAGGTGCAAACGAGACGCTGCTATCAAAGGCTTCCGCCCCAAACGAGACACGAGTATCAATGGATTTAATTTCGAACGAGACACTACTACTTACTACTACGGATGCGTCTGGAAACGAGACGCTGCCATCAATAGTGGATGTCTCTGCAAAGGAGGCACTGCCATCAACGAGACAGCACATTGTTTTTGCGTTCATTCCAAACGAGACGCTGCTATCAATGGATGTAAGTCCAAACGAGACACTGCCATCAAAGGATTCAGCCTCGAACGAAACGTGCTGAGGAGCACCGTATCTCACTATTCACGGCTGCACACGATGCAGGTTGAGAAGCACCACACAAATGCAGGCTGAGAAGAACCACGCGAATGCAGACGGCCAGGCTGAACAGCACCGCCACAAAGCAGGCTGCATCTCAGGGCTCTTCAAGCTCGCGCAGGCCAGCCCAGCGCCTGTCGGGCCTTCGCGCAGGCGATTATTGTCGTGGCAATCTTGTCTGCGAAGAATTCGTCGAAGGCCGTCGCGATCTGTTCTGGGGGGCCTGACTCGATGATGCTCCGGTCAGGCAAGCCGTGGCTCAAGAGCTGACCGAAGCTCCTGGGCCGCGACAGGCTGACGTAGTAGGCCAGCCAAATGGACTCTTTCTTGAGTCCTGGCGGAAACGTCCAGTGCACGATGAAGCCTGGGTCCGCCGTCTTGCCCTGCACGCCGTGCAGAGTGCCCTGCTTCTTGGGCAGCACGGTCAACTGTGTCCTGGAGACACTGATGGCCGGGCCATCCGCCGTTGCTTTGAACTTCCAGGGACGGGCCTGCGGGGTAATCGCGAGCACTCCACGCAGGTCAGGGCCGGCAGGCTGAGAAGCACTGCCAGCAGTCACCGGCGCGGCCTTCAAGAAGAGCTCATCGCTGACATCGATCTTGACATAGACGGCCTTGGGCATGTAGCGGAGCACCGCAACACCATCCGAGACAACGGACGCGCGACCCTCCACCGGAGGCTCCAGAGCGTGCTGCTCTATGCCTACCACCTTGCCCGGCGCGCCGCGGACATACTTAGGCGGCAAGACGGACTCCGTCAGGATGACCTCCATGCCGAGGAAGAGCCGCAGCAGCCCCGGCATTTCTCCAATAGCGCCGATGTTGGGCTCCGCGCGCATCTTGTCGAACTCAGGCTTCGCGAGGCGCGCAGCTGGTTTGTCGACTGCCGGCGCGTAGAAGAGCAGCTGGCCAGCATCGTGCGCATCAAGCTTGGCCTGCGCATGCATGGCGTAAGAGACGACGCGCCACTCATATGCCGACTCATCTGGCGACTCGTACTACCACTACTACCACTACCACTACCACTACTACTACTACTACTACTACTACCACTACTACTACTA